CTGGAGTAATATATATATCAATGTGAATTGTTCTCAAAACGAAATCAGCTTGAATGAAAAAAATCATAAATCCACACTTTGGAGACAGGATTTAGAACAGAGCAGGAAATGATCTAGAAGCCACCTGAAAGCTGGTCTCATAGATTTGGAGACCACCACACACGCTGCTAAGGAAGAACATGAATCCATGGTCCAGCCACACCTTCAAGGCCTAAAAACCACATCAATGCCCAGCACAGCCAATGACACTGGTGTAGTAGTAGCACTTTTATCCTGGGGGTAATCAACAGCTAACTAATTGGACCTAAAGCCTGCTCAGTGGGAGGGAACTCATGTCTGGTTCTATAAAACTAGCCAGATACACATAGCTGGAGAGGTCATAGATCTTAGAGAAAACCCCAAGGCTGTCACATCCCTAGACTAATATAATTTCTTACTATGTGCAAAATATGGATCCTTAAATCTATAGACAAGTATCCCAGTCACCACCCATCAAAGAAGGTTCTTTTTCAAGAAATAAAGATAATTACAGAGTTCCACAACTGGTCACACACAGAGATTGTCTGTGAACTGCTCGAGTCTAAGTGGCACATCTAGGATGCAACCTCTACACCTAAGGCTCACGGAACATAGAACAAGGGATGAAGAGAACAGTAATGCATCTTTAAATTCTCATCAATGAAGCTCCCTCATGCAACAGAGGGCCAGGAACGCAAAAGGTCACAAATGGCCAAGACACAGAGAATAAGAGTCTACAGAGTGTGGGTCTTTGGACAGGACTCCTATATTAACATCCACCCACCCAGGGTTCAGAAACCATCTCAGAAGAGGCAGCAGAAAGATTGTAAGAATCAGGGAGGAGGTGCATGACCATATGGAAATAGAGTCCTACAGGCTCCTGGGACCCTTCTCATACGACCTTACAGCAATGCTGTCAGCATGCACAAGACCCCTACAAACTCAAACAGACAAAAACCCAGCACAGAACTGTGGAAATGGGCAGCAGGCTCCAATCTTGGTTAAAGAACTATTGGCAGCTGATTGCTGCTGAGGAAGAGCGGATCTTCTTAAAGTGAGGGACTCTAGACAGGCTGACTAGATCCCAGTGGATGATCTTGCACTGAAGGACATCTGGGGACAGTAACTTTACATGATAAGCCTTAACACAAATGACAGAATCTATGAGGCCTAGTGGGGGAGGGGGCCAATGGGGAAGGGGGTATAAAGATGATTTTCTGTATGAAATACACAAAAATTCAATAAATTTTTAAATCATAAATCCTCGTACAGTATATGGTTCCATTTATGTGAAGATGAAGACAGGTCAAATGAAACAGTGGGCAATGTACAGGAATTAGTCCAGTCTGGAGCCCTAAAATAAAAGAACAAGGACAATTAGTCCAAAGCATAGGATAGTACTTTACCACACGCAGTGTGCATGGGAGATATAACCACAGCCGCCCAGATTTAGGAAGTTATTGACTGAATTAAACCCAGGGCTTTAGGCATGCTAAGAAAGCACTCTGTTACTAGGTTCAATATACCACCAGTCCTGATACCACAGTTCTTGGGATGGGTAATTCATTATCAGGTATTTGTTTTACAAGTCTTGCTTGCTTTGCATAAATTTAATTTGTATAAATGGATGTAGTTTCATAATAATTTTACAAACAGGGGCTGGGGAGATGGCTCAGTGGATTAAGCACTTGCCACACAAGCATGAGATCTAAGTTTGAATCCCCAGAACCCCCGTAAACCAGACACAGTGTGGTCGTCTGTCATCCCAGTGCTCCTACAGGGAGATGCGGTACAGAGACAGGATCATCCCTAGGAAGTTCGAGGTCCAGTTGGCCTGTCATACACAGCAGTAAACAACAAAGATACCCTTGTCTCAAAGAAGACAGAATGGAAGACAGGTATTGATGGTGTCCTCCGACCTCCAGAGGTATGCCATGTTGGTCACACATCCTCATGCACACACAGGTATGCACACCTACACATTATAGACATACACACACACAAAATAATTTTTTAATTTTAAATTAAAATAATGTAAAATTATTAAATATACATGATGGGCTCCTGTCTGTAATCCCATTACTCAGTATGTAGGGGCAGAATGATCTGAATTTTGAGATTGCCCTTGTCTATACAGTGATTTCAAGGCCATATTAAACCCTATCTTAAAAAAAAAAAAATCCTTAAGGGAATGGAGAGATGACTCAGTGGTTAAGAACATTGACTGCTCTTACAGAGGACCCGGTTTGATTTCCAGCACCCACATGGTGGCTAACAATCATCTGTTAACTCCAGTTCCAGGGGATCCAATACCATCTTCCGACCTCTTTGGGCATTGCACAACACGGTGCACCTATATAAATGCAAGCAATACACTCACAGGCATAAAGTGAAAATAATAAAACATTACAAAAAATCTGTTAAGTATCTTCAATCAATCGGAAATAAGAAATCTCAGGACCAGTGGGTAGATCTTGACATTAGAAAAAATTTCTCATATCCTTACCTATGTGGAATCACCATTTTTGTTCAGCTACCTATAAAAGTGAAAGAATGTAAAGGCTTTTAGCAATGATGTCCAAAAAAGTCACAGGTCAACTGTGAATTTTGGCTTATTCCCATAATCCCAGAATCTGGGAGGCTGAGGGTAAGATTGCTATACAGTCAAGACCAATTTCACCTATTTAGTGAGTTCTGGGCCAACCTGGGATAGGGGAGAGGGATACAGAGTGATCCTGCCACACAGACAGACAGACAGACACATACACGCACGTAAGTGCACACACACACACACACACACACACACACACACCAAAAGGAAAAAAATAAACCACAAACCACACAGTTACAAATAAGGATGGCAGTCTCCCCTTATTAAAAAATAGTTACTGAACTGTCAAGTCCACGTCCACCCCTGAAGCACAAGGTCCCTCCTCCACTGGTCCACACCTGCCACTCAGTTTGTCATGAATAACGATCTCTGTGCTCACTCTTGGTCGACAACTGCTCCTGTGTGTGCAAATGGATGATGGTGCTCCCAGGGCCATCTTCCCTTCCATAGTGGGTTGTCCGAGGCACCAGGGCATGATGGTGTGCATGGACCAGAAGGACTCCTATGTGGGTGACAAGGCCCAGAGCAATAGAGGCATCCTGACCCTGAAGTGCCCCATCACGCACCACGATGTCACCAACTAGGAGAAGGTCTGGCACCACACTTCCTACAATGAGTTGCATGTACCCCCAAGGAGCACCCCATGCTGCTCACTTAGGCCCCTCTGAACCCCAAGGCTAACTGTGTAATAATGACCCAGATCATGATCCCTTGAGACGTTTAACACACTAGCCTTCAACACAGTAGCCATCCAGACTGTGCAGTCCCTGTCCACATCTGGCCACACCACTGGCATCATGATGGACTCCAAGATAGGATCAGCCACACTGTGCCTGTCTATAAGGGCTACACTCTCCCCCCACACCATCCTGAGTCTGGACCTCGTTGGTGGAGACCTGACAGACTACCTCATGAAGAGCAATCATATTAAGCTTTCTCCCACGGCCTGTGGCCTTTGTGGCTTGTGGTCTATCTACCCTCATGTTCCTAGGCCTGATATCAATATCAGGTATTAACTCCATCTTATAAAACAGAACTCAATCCAATTAGAAAGTAGCTGGTTCCTCCTATGATAGTCACACCACCATTGTGCTGGTGGGCATATCTTGCCAGACCAATTATTGCTGTAGTTCACAGGATTCACAACTGGGTAATGTTCATGGTAAATTTTCTCTTCTGGTAGCATGCACAGCACCTTCCGGCACTGCGAACACCAGCCTGGGGAGATGAGGCTCTGACGTCAGCATAGCTTGATTTCTCCTTGTTTGTTCTGCAGCTCATGTATACAGTGTCTTCAGGTATAGGGTCTTACCGTGAAGTTCTGGTGGGTAACCAAGAGAAGGGGCAATGGCCAGTGTTGTTTGCGGATCTGTGGGGCCCCTGGTCAACAGCTTCAAAAGAGGGAGTCTCTTGGCATCGCGCTTTCACTTCCCTTCTCTATGGTGTCTAGTAGGCGCAATGTTCCCCTGTTATAAGGTGACTCCTTTTAATATCTATATATCTATCATCTATCAATCTATTGTCTATCATGTATATCATCTATAATCTATGTATCATCTATCTATCTACCTATCTATCATCTATCAGATGGAGCTATCTGTCTATCTATCAATCTATCTATCATCTATCAATCTATCATCTATCATCTATCTATCTATCATCTATCTATCTATCTATCTATCTATCTATCTATCTATCTGTCCTAGTTTGTTTCTTCATTGCTGTGACAAAACACTGACCACTATCAACTTGGGGAGGAAAGGGTTTATTTATCTTACATCTCCCAGGCCTCAGTTCATCAGGGAGTCCAAGGTAGGAACTCAGGGCAGGAACCTGGAGGCAGGAGCTGGAACACAGGCCATGGAGGAATGCTGCTTACTGGCTTGCTCCCCTGGCCCCTGCTTAGCTTGCTCACTTATCCAACACAGGCCCACCTGCCCAGGGGTGGCACTACACATAGTGGGCTGGGCCCTCCCACATCACTCAACAATCAAGAAAATACCCCACAGACATGGCCACAGGCCAGTCCAATGGAGGCAATTCCCCAACTGAGGATCCCTCAACCCAGGTATGTCAAGTTGACACTAAAGCTATCCACCACACTACTTATCTATCATCTATCTATCACCTATCAATCTATCTACCTAATCTATCTATCATCTAACTAGCATATATATAGTGGCAGGTCTCTAAAGGCCTTTAATGTTTGTTACCCTCCCCAGACCCCCACTCTACCCTACCCTCCTACTGCCTTTAATCCTTTCTACGCTCTATCATTCCCCTTCCCCCTTTCTTTACACAATTGCATTCCACCTCCCCTCCCAGGAAGCCCCCCCGCCCAACACACACACAAACACATGGCCATTTTCTTTAACAAATGGACCTCTTCACAAATTCACATGTCAGTCTTGCTGGGTCATGCTAATTTTCTACGTATTCTTCTAATTTTACTCTGTGTGCTGCTGAAGAGAGCAGTGGTTTTCTTTTTTGAGACAGGGCCTCACTATGTAACCCTGGCTGGCCTGGAACTCATTATGTAGAACAGACTGGTCTTGACCTCAGAGAGATTCACCTTGTCTCTACCTCCTGAGGGCTTGGATTAAAGGTATGTGCCGCCACATCCAGCTGTATTGCTCTTACTGCCTTCACACTGTTAGAGAACGAATCACTCCATCCTTCTGGGATTACTTCTGTCTAAGCATGTTATCATACTTGTGGGTCACAATCTGTGTCCCAAACCAAGTTAGGTCACCCATCCTCAACAACCCAATTAAAAGAGTCAAGTGAAAATAGAAAGCAAAAAATGGAGATTTATTCAATGTGGCCGTTGTCAACCCCAAACCACAACCCTGAACCCAAAGGAGGCAAGGGGCGGTTTACACTAGAACCAAGTATGAGTGACCAGGGCCTGGGAACTCTGATGTAGGTCACCGTCAATACCATCTTCCAATGTTGAATCAATTTCATGAAGTTTTTATAGTAACAAAACAAAGAAAATCATAAATCATAAATACACTGGTGGAAACACTAAGTAGGTAGTTAGAGCAAAGTGGGGAAACCTCAGCTATCAGACGCCATGTGATGAACGCTTAGCCTCAGTTGGTAGAAACGGGTTTTGTTAATACATTCCAAAATGTTTTAATCTGTCACCCTACAGGCTGTTAAATCAGACATAGAGGTGGGCAAGGAATGGCTATTTAGGCGATAGAACGTAGGCCAAGGTAAACCTTAGTTTGCAGCATTCCAAACTCTCCAAAATCACTGATGTTCTAATGAGTTAATTAGCTTTGCAGAAGGTTCAGTTTGCAGGGTTTTTTTCTGGGAACGTTCATCCACATTGGGAAGAGAGACGAAAAGGTCCAGCGATTTCCTCACGTCTGTCTTCCCACAAGTCAGTGTCCTCCAACTCCATCTTTGGGAGTGAAGTTTCAGATTGAAGTTTAAATACAGGGCTAGGGATACGCACTGCAAAGTGGTCCAGGTCATGATGTAGTCTCACCAGCCAGTGACTCAGCATTGTGTGGTCTTCAGCTTCATCCTATAAAGTGGTCTGAAAAGTTGTTAGTACTCTTTCCAGGAGAAAAGTTCTCCCTTAAATCTGACTGGCAGGTTTTCCTTCCTCCATCATGAAATTACTGGGAAATTTCCCATTTCTTTCAAGGTTCATTCTTTCAGTAGTCTGGTAGTCAAAGAGAGAGACACACAAGTGTCCCTTCAGAATATCTTCATTTCTGCCAGCCCAGTTATAAACATATTGCATAACTTAAAGAAATTAGCTCACCCATCTTAGGTGACTTTCTCCCTCATTCTACCCACTTCTTTGCAGGTTCAGAGCATGTCCACAATTCATCTTGGGTCATCTTTAGCCCCCAAAATAGCCTTTCCTTGCCCACCTCTGTGTCTGACCTAACATCTTATGACTAACAGATGAAAAACCTTTTGGAATGAATTAACAAAACCGTAGCTCCCATCAAGCAAAGGCTGAGTGTCATTGAACAGCATCTCAGCCTACACCTGAGATTTCTCTTTTGCTGAATCCACCTACTTTACGTTTCCACCAATGTATTTGAAAAGTGTCTTAGTTTATGACTTTCTTTGTTCTGTTACTATAGAAACCATGAAACTGTTTCCATGCTAGAACATGGAATTTGGGGTAACCTGAGTCTGTGTCCTCGGTCCATCATCACTCATGTTTGGCCCCAGAACAAACTATCTTTTATCCCTTTTGAAGTGAGTGTTGTGTTATGTCAGCAGTTATGGCACCAAAGGTGGGGCCCTGAAACTGATCTACTGTCCATTGGGGGAGCCACCTGAATGGAAACAAAAGTCCTGTGTGGACCCATTAAGTCCCGCAATCTGACGTCTCCTCGGGTAGATTACGATGAGTTCTTTCTGGGGTCTTTCTTTCATACCTCCCTTGGTTTGCGTAATAGTCCACTTGTTTATTCTGAGTTGGTTGTTTAAGGATCCTATTTGATTCATAATTTTTGGTTTGTGTTGCTTTCAAAGTGTTTGGATTAAAGTATGAATTTTGTTTACTTTGAAAGTTTGAAAGCATTTTGTTTTGACATTTGAGTTGAGACCTCGGAAGGCATGCTGGATTCTAACAGTTTGTTAAACTTGTAAGCAGCCCCCCCACCTTTTTAAAAATATTTTTAATTTTCCCTTTTCTTTGGACACTTCTTCCATATCTAATCTAAGGAATGGAGAGGTGTTTGAAAAAGATGAAACATATGTTTCATATTCCGCTGCCGTTAGGCTTTATTAGCATGTTCATTCAACTTACAAAACTTGAAAAACACAAAAGGTAAAAATCTAGCTAAAGAGCCAGGTGTGGTGGCGCTGGTGAAGATTTTCTCCCATTCTGTGGGTTTTCTGTTTGTTTCCTTGGTTGTCTCCTTTGATGTACAGAAGCTTTTTAGTTTAATGAGGTCCCACTTGTTAATTCTTGCCCTTGTTTCCTGGGCTATTGGTGTCC